AGGAATATCAATTTTGAATAAGATTGTCGGAACTATTTAGGAGCGAGCGTTAACCACATACGGACAGAGAGACTTGGGCTGATAAAAGCATTTTTTCGGTATTAAGAACCCAAGAAACGTTGATTCTAGCTACACAACATAATAAATTGTACATTTAGAAACAAAATTTGTCGAAAAATGCCAATTTGTCCATAATATTACAATAACCCACTATTTTACGGAAGTACATAGTAAGGCGAGAAAGTAAAAAGAACAACAGGTAAAAGCAAACAATCCTCGAAGGAACCGCTGGCCGAGCTTCCGCGGTGTTCCCCAAGGACCCACTTTCCGTCCGCGGAACTGAAGGCATCAACAGCGAGTTTATCTTCAATTAAGACGACAAACAAAGGCGTCGTCTGTCAGACCGCGCAACTAGTGCCAAGAGCTTCCTCTATCCCCTTCTTCTCACTCCCCGTTTCTGAAACTGTGTAGCTTCACTGTGCGACTACACAGTGAAATACATGTATCGTTGTGCGCGGGCCTATTTCTGATGTACGCCGACACGCGTCGTTCATTAGACTACGCCTTTGTAATTGTCAGCTGTTTTTGATTCTATGTTCTCTAATACGTGAATTATGAATATGATAATGAATAATGATTACCTTGTCTTGTAGAATTTAAGTGTTGTCCTGAACATTAATCAATCATTATGGGACGATGGCGACCTTATCAAAGGTCCCATGACGCTTCTCAAACGCCTTGGGCGCCACCAAGGGGCTGCTGTGAGAGTCAACTCAATTAGGTGTGTCTGTAATAGTAGTTTATGCAATTAGTTTATACTGTTTAGCTTTGGTGCATGATTATTTTGAAAACGAGCGACTTTCGGAGCGAGTTTTCAAATTTGTACGAATGTAATAAAGCAACATTATAAAGAAGTTGCATACTATATATTTTTGTATAACAGCATTATACATTTATAAGAGAATAAAACTTAAAGTTGCGAAACAACTTCCTTGTGACGACTCGAGTATTTCACATCGTGCGAGTAAACGGTGGTCAGCTGTTCCGTTTAGCTGTACCTCTCCCCGATTCTCTCGCTACGATTGGCTGAATGTGTGATGACGCAATCATTCGTGACGTAGATTCTGAGACGTCATCATTTGTGTCTTAAAATGCCAGATTATGAACGATTTCTTGCAACAGAACAGGTTCTTTTATAATGTTGGAATACACAAAACTCTTTACCAAACTTCATATCTTACATAATCAATCCTTTAAATTTAGTGTTCTTGTAAAAATTGTTTTTGTTCATTTGAACCCAGAGCAGCCTGCCTGCGCGCGCCTTTGTAATCCAGGGTTAAGGCGACGAACAAAACGCCTCGCAGCGCCGCTTCCGGCCACTGTGCCGCGCCGCGCGCGCAGCAGACACCGCGAAAGGAAGCGGGGGAAACGCCGCGCGATCTTTTTTTTTTTCTCGTCGCCGGCTGTTTGCCCGTTGTCTCGGCGGCGGTGTGTCGCCGATGCATCGGAAACATCTGGTGCTCTGCCCGGCCGTTGGGGCTCCGAGCAAAGAGGCAAAGTGGGAGTTATTGTGACGCCGGGGAGGGGAGGGGAGGGGAAATGTCTTTTAGGTTCCGTTTGCAGGTAATGCGGCAGTTCTCCTCCTTTTTCCGCGCGGCGCGCGCCTCGCCCGGTGCCAAACGGCGCGCTCTTTCGGTCGTTGTCGTCGCCCTGCCCGGGCTTCGGTGGCCGCCGTGGCTGGGAGACTTGGTTGTGCGGCGGTGTGGGACAGCGTGTTCCGGCGGAAGGGACCATCAGGTCAGAGAAAAGCACCGAAGAGCGAAGGAACTAGTGGTGCTGCGCAGCGCGGACTTTCTCGCCCGTATTTTCACGCAAAATTGCGCAAAAAATACTCAAATTTTCGAAAAATTTTACATATTATTTATATTATTTCAAAATATATCTTAAAGGATAAGATTTCTTTCAGGGAATTTTTATCTTCGCAATTGGGAGTTGTAGAAAGATTCCAAAAAAATTTTGAACATTTGGAATTGTCAAAAATATCAGGGTTTCCAACGAACATGAGACCTGCATTATACTCTTAAACTTTCTTTGTACTATCCAACAACAAAATTTAATAAAAAACGATAGAGCCATTGCTTTGAAAATTTGGAAAATGTCCAAGGCGCTTTATGTGAAGTACCAGCCAAATTAAAATATCAGTTTCAACGAGCTATAACATAAGTTAGAACGACTGGGAAATATCAATTTTGTACAAAATCGTCTGAACGGTTTATATGCTGGCGTTGTGCACAGGACAGACGTACTGTCATTCCTTTTTCGAAATCAAGGACGCACATAGAAGTAATTCTGGCTACGCTACGTGTTAGAGGATTTTTTTCTAAATTTAGCAACTAGATTTATCCACTTTTTCGTTACCAGGTCCCGGCAATAAGAGTTTTTATGTCGAAAACTCGCCGTTTTTCGGCGTACGATTACAATATTTTTAATCACGTAATCTCTTGTAACGTTAGTAGGGCAAGAAAGTAAATATTATAATTGCCTACATTTCATGTACTATTATGCAAAAACGACTCGTACTTTCGAGCATTGGCATGATCTTGTTTCAAGATCTCTCATTATTGAACAGATTTCAACAAGAATACGATATATCTTCAATATAGTAGTTTATAGGAAGAGGCCAATAAATATTCTCTAACAATGTCCCTTACACCATAATAAGACAAAGTTTAATCAAACTACAAAATGGTACAGTCTTTCGCGTATTAGTTTTCTATTTCCTTTGGTGTCGGCTAGCTATTTGGAATTGCAACATTCTGTTGCCAGCTACCATCTTTTGCCGCCCATGTATATTTTTTTCTTAAGTTTTCTTAATTTTTCCGTTTTCTAATTGTAGAACGGAAATATTATTTTATGGATATCAAAGAACAGTAAAATTTCGTCCGAAATGGCAATTTCCTTTAAAACATTTGGAGATGTTTTTGAAAAATAGGGGCCAATGCGCTATTGTAAATTTGAAGCTCTTTTTCACAGAAAAGTTGAAATTTCTAAATATGTTTAATGTCGTTTAAAGCAATTTGTAGGATTTTAACTCACAAACAAAATAATGTTATCAAATTGCAGCAAATGTACATATCAACAGCGTGAGAAATCTTTCAAATAAGTACATTTGTGTAATTTTCGAAATACCAAATAATATACCCCGAAATAAACTTTTGGCCATATTAAAAAGAGAAATTAGTAATACCCATTGCAAAAATTTGAAGAAAAAAATTGGAGCTGTTTTTGAGTAAATGGCGGTGGAGCGTTTCTGAAAATGCGGAATTTTTTGCTACTTTTCCCACACAACGGAAACTTTATATAACATTATTTAGAGCACATGTACTCATAAATATAATAATGTGAAGAAATTGCCGCTTACGAAAATATTAACGACGTGATAAAAAAGTCCAAAAAATTACATTCTTGTAATTTTGTAAAAAACAAGAGAATAGAGCAATATGGCGTCTATTCATCTTATTGAGTACGTTTAGCACTACCGCTTCCATAAGTTTAAAGAAAAAAGGTTGAGCTCTTTTTAAAAAATCTTGAATTTTGTACTTTTTTTAATTGAAAATATTGCACGCAATATTGCACGGAAACTGCTAAAAATTAAAAAAATAAACGTCTCATTAATGAAAAAACTCATTATGGACAACACGCTTTATAAAAAGGAAAAACCTCTATCTTTAATTTTGTAGATGCAGGAAGACGCGAAAAAAATAAGCTCTTGCAATTTTCAAAAAATTCAGAGTTTACCTTGAAAATCGGACCTATGCCACCTTTATAGGTGTAGTTTACTCTATTCTTACAAGAAATTCAAAGAAAAAATTTGGAGCGGTTTTTGAGAAAGTTTTGAAAATGTCGAGGAGGCTTCATATTAAGTACACTCAATTTTTGAAGAAAATTTTCCAAACGCGCGGCGTCTGGAGTAGAGCTAAATCGTCCAGGGAATATCCATTTTGGAAAAAATCATTCGTGTAGTTCAGGCGCTAGTGGTGTTCACTGACTGACAGACGGATGCACAGCCAGACGGACGGACGTTTTGCAAAAAACACATTTTCGGTCTCAAGGGACCCCAAATCGGATATTACCATTGAAATCTCGAAATCTATTTTCCGCAGCATTACATAATTTCTTCTGTTTTGGGTATATTACTCCGTATATACGTGCGTATACGGGAAAATTTTGGAATCAGTTTCCAGAAAATATTTAAAATGTTGAGGATTCAAAATATTTCCAAAAATCGAAATATCCGTTTGAACCTCCTAGGGCCTGGAGTTGTTTTTTAATTGATCCGGGAATTTTAATTTTGGAGGAAATCGTGTGAACGGTCTGACGATTGACTACCGTCGATCACAGACGAACAGACGGGCAGACAGACGTTTCGCTATCAATTGATTTTTTGGTATCAAGGACTCAAATAACATGTATCCTGTCTATTCGTGTTAGGGGAAGTAATTTATTATGTAAAGGAAGAATATTTATCCAATTTCCTGTCAAAACTTCGCAGCTTTCCGGCGTATGGTTACAATATGTTCTCTTCTTATGAAGTAAGGGCAAGAAAACAATTAGATTCCCTTCATTATCATTATCATTTTTGTTAATTTTATTATTATTATTAATATTATTAGAGTTCTTAATAATACACCATATTTATAGATTTATAAACAAGAAGAAAATTTATCGAATGTTCATAATATTATCATAATACATCATAGTATAACTAACAGTGTTAACAAAAATAAATTCACATAATTCTGCACCTCACTGCAAGATAATGGTAAACCTTTAAAATATTTTTTTAGCAAAATAGAATTGAATACTTTAGAAGTTTATCTTTTTACAAATACTATTAAAAAGTATTGAACACTATGTGTAAAATATCTCTTTAGCAATAAAATAAATGAAGATTGTACATTTAAAAAAACATATGGAACATAATCGAAGAACTTGTTCAAACAAAAAGGAAAAGACGTTTAATTATCTTACAGCAGGTGAGTGAGTGAGGGCAAAATGATTGTCACTATCCGTTGGACTTTTTGTGCCCGTTACACAGAGATACATGATTCGCATAACGCCTCTTTGTACTTTCTCGTTAGACAGAGCTCCTTCTCTGGACAATCGAGTGTCGTTCGCTGGCCACTCCTCGTTTATCAACATAGACTTCTGCCAAGCCAGTCACTTAGCATTCAGCTCACCCACGCTGCATAATAACACGCGAGAGCGGCCGGAGAAGCTGCCAAGTTACTTCCAGAAAATATATTCTTCCGCCATGTTTCTTGCCACATGACCTAAATGGGGAGTTTTCCTACCGCTCGTTTTAAATAACGTGCAGGGCGTACTCTCACACACGCAGCTGCTCGTCGAGGAAGATTGATGTTGAAATGTAAACTGCCGGAAACGGAAAAGCTCTCAATCCCGTTTTTACTCTTACAGATTTTTTTGGATAAATTCTTCGTTTCTTTTAAAGAAAGACGGCCGAGGTGCCCGGCATATTGAAAGCAAGAACAAGTCAATGAAATATTATGTGGAGTATATATAAGAAGGGCGAGCTTTGCAAGGAAGAAAAAGAGCAAAAGGGATTTGATATATGTAGGTATAGAAACTAGCGGTCAATCTCGAGTAACACACGCTCGTAACACGGTCCATTAAACATCAGGTTTCGGCAAAAGGAGAACGTAAAGAAGGGAAGAAATAAAATGTATTAAATGGAACAACCGTATCAAAAACAAAGTTATCCCTTTAATGTTTTCCTTGCTCCTAATTCTCATTCACCTTTCTGGCACACGACGCTTGTCCAATGCAGGAGTCTCGTCATTTTCAACGCAGATTGTAAAGGCATCGTCTGTCAGACGACGCACCTCATACCGAAAGCTTCCCCCATCCCTACCCATCACCCCCCGACTCTGAAACACTATGTACCTTCATTGTGTGACTAATCAATGACATGCACGTATCGTTGAGCGCGTCCAATTTACGAAATACGTCATTGTAACACGCGTCGTCCAATAGACTACGCCTTTGCAGTCACGTCAGTGATCTTTTTGGTAATTTATTGGGTAACATTGTAAATAATGAGTTCAAAATTCTTGTCTTGTAGTATTTAAGATTTCTTCTGAATATTTAACAATCATAATGAAACGATGGCGATCATAACAAAGGTTGCGTGACACTTCTCAAAACCCGTTTATGGACAGCAAGTGTCTGTTGGGGGAGTTAAGTCCTTTAGGTGCATCTATAAAACCCTTTAAAATGTGTTTTGTAATTTCATATCAAACATGCTCAACATATTAAATCAAGCGTTCCATTGTAAAAATGAGATGAAGGAAAAATGAAAATTTTCCTGATTTTTACCCAACGCAGTCCGCCAAGCTACGCCTCTGTAATGATGGGTGGTGTAGGGCGCCTTTAATCCAGGGTTAAGGAGAAAATCAATCGGATCACACAATTTATGTCATCACATCTCTTATTTATAATCTGCCGCAATAATTGTGTTGATCATTGCGTTCCATCATCGATATAAACATTAAAGTAAAAACAGAAGAGTATACGTCGTAAGACTAAAGTCATATTTAAAGGAATTATTTGTTTACGAAGGGATATGGCTTACGAAACTTGCCCCTGATTAATACGATAAGGTCTCTTAACCCTCTGATGGTATCGTTTCTTTTTCAGTATTTGTAGTGGCAGTACTGCGAGGACTTTACACCATTAGGCGTCTCTCACAACCCTGTTTCCATTTAAGTCCGCCTCTG